TCTCCCCCTCCTCCTCCTCCTCCTCTTCCTTCTCCTCCTCCTCCTTCTACTCCTCCTCCTCCTCCTCCTCATCATCATCATCATCATCATCATCATCATCATCATCAGCAACAGCAGCACTATCATCAGCATCATCAGCAGCAGCATCATCATCATCAGCAGCAGCATCATCAGAATCAGCATCAGCATCATCAGCGTCATCATCATCATCATCATCATCATCATCATCATCAGCAGCAGCAGCAGCAGCATCATCATCATCCTCATCATCATCACCACCATCAGCATCAGTGTCGTCATCATCAACAGCAGAAGCAGCAGCAGCAGCAGCATCATCTGCATCATCAGCAGAATCAGCATCAGCGGCATCAGTATCAACATCATCGGCATCGCTAACATATCACCATCGTCATCATACTAATCGTCGTCACCAGCATCATCATCATAATCAGCATCATCATCAGCAGCATCAGCATCAGCATCAGCAGCAACAGCATCATCGTCATCATCATCACCATCACCATACCAGCCCATACCTCCTTCCTCCCGCCATCACGCCTCCTCCTCCCCATCCTCCTCCCCCTCCTCGTCATAGTCTTCCTCCTGCTTTCGTCCCCCTTCCCGCCTACTCCTTCCACCCTTCCTCCCCACTCACGGCTTCCTCCCCGTCCCCCTCCTCCTACTTCTCCTCCTCCTCCTCCTCCTCCTCCTCCTCATCCTCATCGTCCCCTCATCCTCATCCTCCTCTTCCTCCTCCTCCTCCTCCTCCTCCGCCTCCGCCTCCTCCTCCTCCTCCCTCCCTCCCTCCGTCCTTCCCTCTTTCTTTCCCTAGGCCTAGATCAGAATCCTGATGGCCGCTCGCCTATCCTGTAAATGAGCTCTTCCACAGCTTTCGCGGCCTCCTCTAAGGCGAGCGCCTCGGCTGTAAAGGAAGAAATTGGGTCACTGATAAACGTCCCTGCAATGATGAAGAGAGTCGTGGTTTCTATCAAACCACGGCGCGTGACAGCCTCTACGCACCAGGCGGCTGCAGAACACGATGCCGCTCGAGTGCCGCCATCGCTGTGGATCAGAAAATTGGCCCCGCTCAGATCTACTGATTCAATCGGGAAGCTGTGATACCACGACTTCTTTTCATCCATTGTGTAGTTCACCTAGAAATCTGCTTTGATATTCCAATCGCGCTTGTGCCAAACAACCATGTCGTCCGCATCCTGCGCTGTCCTCCATCCGTATCCCATTACGTTGAACATGCTCTTGGTAATTCGATCAAACACCGGTCCGAGAGAAGGTGCTGCCAGCACGGTAGTTCCATTGACAACTCCGGCGAGAGGCTTGCAATCGGTGATGAAGAGTACTCGCCCGGCCATGCCGTCCCAATGCACGTCCGGTGCGCTATCGCCGTGTCCAGCCGGAAGCTCGTCCAAAGGATGCGTGGCTATCCTCCTCCGTTTTGGCGCGGTGTGGACCTGGTCCTGGCGATCCGAGCATCTGCCAGACGACTTGCAGAACAATCCCCAAAGAGTGCATAAATGGGATTCGAAGGCTGGGTAGAGAGCCATCCATTCAGCTTCACGCGAGCACTCGTCTCGGCGAGCCCGCCATGCAATGCCGAACACGCTCACGAAGATATCCTCCCATTCTATCCGGTACCCCATCCCAGAATGAACAATGCCTTCCTTCCGTCTTTTCCTCTCGCTGCACATCATCCTCACGGTCTCCCACCACTCCCGAGTGCGAAATTGTCGCGCCAGGTGCAAATAATTCCTCTCGCCACGTAGCGGCATGCATCTCTCACGCCATGCATTTCTAAAGACTTCCCGGAGCACCCGACAATGCAGCGGTATGATTTTGGTCTGCTCGAAGCTCGACTCGATGATACGAGCGGTGCGCATCATGTATTGCGCATGCCCTTCCCTCCCTTCCTCCCTCCCTCCCTCCTACTCCCTCCTCCATCCTACCTTCTCCCTTCTCACTCCTCCCCATCCTTCTCCCTTTCCCACAGATAATCCCCTTCCCCCTGTGGCCCTCCCCCTCCTCCTCCTCCTCCTCCTCCTCCTCCTCCTCCTCCTCCTCCTCCTCCTCCTCCTCCTCCTCCCCTCCTCCTCCTCCTGCTCCTGCTCCTGCTCCTCCTCCTCCTCCTCCTCCTCCTCCTCCTCCTCCTCCTCCTCCTCCTCCTCCTCCTCCTCATCCCGCTCTCCCTTGCAGAGGAAGCACCGCACGTGCCGTCCAGAGACCAAACAGTGCGATTCTGCACCCGGCTCGGCAAACATAGAGGAGAATCACGCCCAGCGGGCGGGGATGTGTCAGACGCGGCGCGCGAGCCCCCGGCCAGCTCCCAGAGAGGAGGCCACGGGCGCAGGCCTGGGCCTCTGCTCGCAGCCTGGGCCCCCGGGAACTGTCAGCCCCGCCCCGGGGCCGGTCCCTCGCAGCGGGCCGGGCCCCCGCCCCCCGCCCCGCCCCACGGGCTATGTCGGCGTCGTCGCCGTGCGCGCGGCACGCGGCGGAGCCAGAGCCAGTCCGAGGGCGCGCGAGGTCGGCAGAGAAGAGCGCGCCGGGCCCTCGTGCAGCTGCCCGAGCACGAGAGACCGCCACCATGATGGCTATCCGCGGGAGCCCCAGGCTGATCGTGGCCCCCGCGGTCGCCAGCGCCGCTAGGCGCGACAGTGGGGGTCGCGACCGGGCCAGCGTCCGCCTGCCCCAGCTGACCGCGCACCTGGTCGCACTCGGAAGAACGGAGACGAGTCTTTGGGTCCACGCGCGGCGGGGCCACCCATGGCTGAGTCCTGCAGGATCCCTGGAAGCATGAGATGCCCCAGCCGCAAGGGTGAAGGGCTTACTACCAGTTCCCAGAAGCTGCTCTCGCCTCAGCGCCGCAGCCTCCACGAGCCACGCGGGTGGGGGGCGGGTCGTTCTCAAGGTGTGCATGCTCGCCCGAAAGGGACCGAGCATTTACACGGACGGAGGCCAGCTCCTTGAGACGCCATCGGACCTGCGGAAACCTGGAGCTCACGAGTGTGCAGCAGCTCCACGAGTGGAGGGAGGATGCTCTTCGAAGTGGGGCCTGCGCCTGAGACTCCGCCAGCTCGATTCAGATAGGAGGCCACAAGCGAACCCTACCCCACCACCCCACGATTTCTTTAGGGGGGAGGTGGGGCTCACCTCATTCGGGACCTCCCAAGCGAAGTGAACCCCACCTCCCCCTCAGAAATCGTGGGGTGGTGGGGTAGGGTTCGCATGTGGCCACCGATTCAGACTCGACTGCCAGCACATTGCCACTGTGCGGCAGCTGCGCTCTCTCTCTCTCTCTCTCTCTCTATCTCTCTCTCTCTCTCTCTCTGAGCACGTCATGTTGGGATCCGCTGCGACGAGGGGCCCTCGCCAGAAGAGCAGGCCCATGGAGAGCGCCCGTCCTTCCAGGGGGGGGGGGGGGGAGGCACGCCCCGCAGCAGGAGGGAATGCCCGTATAGGAGGGGGGGCCTGCGAGGAGGGGGCTTCACGAGCGGTGAACAACTCCGTGCCCTGGGTTTCGTAAGAAGCTTGGGGGGGGTACCCCCCGACGGGGGTCAAACTCGCCTCGCCGTCGCGCCGCGACCGGGGTCGGAGCGCCTTCGGCGCGCGGGGGCTGCCTACGACGGGGGTCGATGTGGGGCTCTCGGCGGGGGTGACGCCCCCCCCGACGCTTGTTAAGAAACTCGGAGTACGTATCCGCGCCCTCGCGGCCTGGGCTCTGGGGCACCAATCCCGCAAAGACGCGGTCGCACGCATACGTTCCGCGCGGGGCATCCGCGAAAGAAGGCCCTGCATCCGCGGGGTCGTGGCCCAGGGGCCCTGCCCGCGAGGCCGCGGGCACTGATATGCTTTTCGTCCACGAGGGCTTGGGACGGTGGCTGTATTGCAGCACCGTTCCCAAAAATCCGACGTCGTGATTTTCCCACCAGGTGGATCCCCACAAAGGTCTTGACCCGTTGCAAATGCCTGGCTTTTCATCCCGAGTGGTTTTGTGAAGGACCCGGGGCCGCCTGTCAGGGACCCCCAGAGGCCGAGAATTGCAGACCGCCTTGCGTGGCGATTTTTCCCGACGCAAGGATGTGAGGGACCTCCTTCTCCTCCTCCTCCTCCTCCTCCTCCTCCTCCTCCTCCTCCTCCTCCTCCTCCTCCTCCTCCCCTCGCTCTTCGCTTCCCCTCGCCCGGTCCTTGCCAGCGTCCATGGCCCGCGGCCGCGAGGGCTCCCGCCTGCCCCCCCCTCACGCATTGTGTCAGAGGGCCGGGAGGGCCCTCGACCGGCGAGTGGGGCACGGACCGCCCCACAGACACGGACGACGACCGCAGAATCGCCAGCGTGCCTGGCCAGGGCGCTCCCGGGCCGTGGCGTAGTGCACAGTCTGCCCGTATCGTAAGGACGCGCGAGAAGGAGGCAAGGGCCCTGGAGGGCTACTTCGGAGCTTTTCGAGCGGGGCGCGGCCAACGAACGAGGCCAAGGATGGACCGAGGATGCAAGGATGCCAATGCGGGTTGACTGTAGTGTATACGCCCCCCAGGTCGAGGCCAGGCGGTCCACGCACCATCCTGGGGCTCAGGATTGCCTTGGCCCGGCACAGTGGCGGTGTATAGATGCTCATGCTTGGAGGGGGGGCACCTGACTTCCTCGCGTCGCGCAAACTTCACAGCGGAAGGCATTCAGCAACCTTCTAACTCCAGGCGCCCCTGCAGAGCCCAGGGCCCACGGTTCGGGATGAGGAGCTGGTCCTCTGGAAGAATGAAGACCTCTGAGGAGCCACGCTGCAGAACAACCAAATGCTGGTCAGCGTCGGCCCCAAGCAGCGATGCCTTACAATACAAAACATAGATACGAAAAAAACATAGACGTATGTACAAGTATCTATATACCTACAACTACATATACATATACACCATGCATGTACATCGAAACATATACCCATACACATACCGACACGTATACATAAACATATGCATACACATAAACATATGGATATACATATACATGTGTCTCAACGTATACATAATCATATACATATACCCAGACATCAACATGTACATGCACATTCACATGTGCATGTATATATATATATATATATATATATATCAATATATACCTGTACAGAAACGTATACATATACATGTCCATATATACATATATATATACATACATACACATATGCATATACATATACACATATATACACATATACATATACACAAACATAAACATACTAATACTCATATACACATACAAATGTATACACATATATGCACATACACACATACATGTACATCTAGTTATAAATACGTGTATTTGTATATGCGTACGCATGTGCAGATGCATATGAACATATACATATGCATATACATATACATATTCAACTACATACACGCATGTATCCATATACGTATACACCTGCGGATGCATAAACATGTCAATGTTCACTCCTGTGTACGTATCCAAGTACGTATACGTGTACATAGTCATGTGAATATGCATGTACACATGCATCTGCAGTGTCACATACATGTGCATGTGCAAATACATATGCATATGCATATGCACATGCATGTACATAGACATTTACACATACATATACATTCGCATCTACAAATACATAGGTATATACATGTACATATACATATACATTTACACATACGTATGCATATACATATGCAAAAATATAGAATATACATATACATATATATGTGTACATGTATCTATACCGATACATACTGTGCAGTCTGGTTGGCGCGATCCGCGAGTTCCAGTCTGTTGTTCGAGACCATGTAAAGCAAAGCGAAGCAATGCAGGGTATTGCACAGCAGCGCAAAGCAAAGCAACGCAAAGCAATGCACAGCAATGCAATGCAAAGCAATGTTCCCAAAATGCAACGCAATGCGATTGCACAGCAGCGCAGTGCAATGACGCAGAACAGTGCAGAGCAACGCAAAGCGATGCAAAGCAAAGCAATGCAAATCAAAGCAACGCGAAACCACGCAAAGCAACGAAAAGCAACGCGAAGTAGCTCGAAGCAATGCAAAGCGGGCGGCGACGAGGCCACGAGGCGGCCACGGGACGGCAACGGCGGCCACATAGCCTCCAGACCGCCGCGCAGGCACAGACGACGGACGGCGACGAGGCGGCGACGGGGCGGCGACGGCGGCCACACAGCCGCCAGACCGCTGCGCAAGCCCAGTTCCTTAGAAAAGAAATAAGAAACCCTAAATACAAGCACTGCTGGCGGAAAAGAAAAAACAAAAAAACGAAGCCAGATGTCGGGGGAAGAAGGCTGGACTTTGGACTTTGCACTTGGGTGAACCAAAACAGGCCTCAATCGCACAACGGCCCATGCGGAGGGCTCAAGGCGACCGCCTTGGAATAACAGAAGGTGGAGGAAGGGGGAGGCGGAGGACGAGCGAGCGCAAGGGAATCGCGCAGGCGCGATCACTCCTGCAGCCCAGGGAGCACGCTCGGCTTGTTGTTTTCTCGCGTCAGGCCCGGGGTGACCCCCAACGTGAGCGCGCGAATGGCCAGCTAAAGCGAACATCGGGGAGCCCGCTGCGCATTTGCCACTGGTGGTTGCAAGATGATCGACCTCGTTCCAAAAAAAAACATCACAATATATAACATTGAATGGCCATGTTGGACCTCCCTTGTGAATTATTGGACAGAGAACTGATAAAGAATGTCCAACATTGCCACTTGTGCGTGCGCTAAGAGACGTCCGAGGCGGCAACTTGCGAAGAGATGCCGCCCGCGCCGAAGAGGCTGCCGCTCGCCGTGCCGTTTACTTTTTGTTCGCGTCGCAGGCGCCGCCACTGGCTCTGCTAGGACGGGCGGGCGCGGCAGGGCGCGCCGATGCGGCCCTCGCGTTCCCTGGCTTATCATTCGGTCGGGCATGTCCCCCACACAGGCGGATTTTGGACGAAAAATAAAAAATACCCAGCAAATACTCAAACAGAATCCAAAAATAATCGAAAATCGTCCCCAGACTATTCTGTAACCATTTCTGGAAATTCCTTCTGCACAGGGACATGCCCGACTTAAGCAGAGCGCGCCGATGCGGCCCTCCGCGCTCCCTGGCCTGTCGCCTCCGACATGGCCCCCGCGGGCTCCAAGAGGGCCGCGCAGCGGCCCTGCCCCGATTCGGGGGGGAGGGGGGGGCGCACAGGCGCGGGAGCCATCATTCGGAACGGCCCCCAGGAGATAGAGACGTCAGCCTCAAGCTCGGCTCGCTCCCCTGCTCCCCGCTTGCTGTCTCTACCCTCTGGACCCTTCCTGGCTACCTTCCAGAGCGCCCCCAGCGAGCCCGAAGACACAAATCTCGAACTGGGGGGGGTCGGGTTCCACATGTGTTTTTTCAATGTTCTCCGACGCCCCCCCCCCGCTGGAAATGGCGAGCAACTTCGAGCCTTCGGGTTGGGTTGGGGAGGTTTGGTGGGTGGTGACTTCTCGCCTGCCCGCCCGCCTGCTTCGTCCCGCCTGCCCTGGCCCGCCCGCCTGCGCGTTCTCGCCGCCGTCGGTCGTCCGCCTGCTTTTCGTCCCGTGTCCCCCTCGCCGTCGCCGCGCAGCAGGGATTTTCGAGCCGTTCCCTAGGTCTAAGCCGGCGAGATGCAAAAGGCGGAGCTGCCCATAAGAAAACACTCGCAGCACGTTCTGGAGGCCACGGTCCAACCGGTTCCAGCGCGGACGGGGCGATCGCCCGCGGCGGCGGTCCCCTTGGGCTGAAGCACCCTCTACGTACCCTGGACCGGAGAGGGTACCACACCGCGGCGCCAGTGCGGGTGCGCTTGCGCTTCCCCGGCCTTCCCGCCCGATCGCCCGCCAGGAAAGAAGACAACGGGCGGCTGCCACCAGCCCAAGCCAGCCACCAGCCCTGGCCGCCAGCCCCGTTCCCTCTCTCCCTCTCCGTCGCCGCGCTGCAGATTAGGAAGCAACTGCTGAGAGGTCTTCGTCGGAAGGATTAAGGAAGATGAAGCCCCATGAAGGGGCTGCTACGCCGGGTTAAGCCATGAATTTAGCTGAATTAAGCCGGATGAACCAGCATTAAATCATATTAAGCGGGATCAAGCCGGATTAAGCCAGATTTCGGACCCAGGGCAAAGTCAGAATTTGCCATGCAGGGAGTTGCATCCGCAAGCAGAGACTTTGGGACAATTCTTTAGGTCTAGGTCGGCGCCTCCCATGTTTCGGTCCAGCTATCCGCAAGGTGGTTTTCCTTGCTTGCGTGTTTCCCAGATGCCGATGCCAGAATATTTCATAGTTCGCCCCTCTGGGCCTCAGGCTGGTGTATAGACCCTCCTTGCCCCATGTTCAAACTTCCAGAATGGTGGCTGGGGAGTTGGTGGTTGAGCCGGTGCAAAAACAGTTTGAAACATCACGATTTGAACCAACAAAACCGAAGCACCAATTGAGAAATTCCTAATGATGGTTAGCTGGGCAGGTGTCCTACGTGGACCGTCTGCAAAACTGGTCAACCAACACGTAGATTTCGAGTTAGCCTGGTTGGAAAGCTTGTAACTGCGCAGGCAGACAGCAGTAACCACAATCGCACTAACCACCAAACTATGAATTCCAAGTCGAAGCTAGTGCTGTATGGTTTCTGACTTCCGAGAAGTTGCTAAACCAATAACTACCTGTCCCCGCCGTTCACGGCGAAAAGATGAAGAGGAGTAGTGGTGCTGGGTGCTGGGAAGGAGAGGGGGAGGGGAGAGGGGGAGGGGGGAGGAGGGAGGGAGAAGGGAGAGAAGGGGGCGAGCTAGGTGTGCCCGCGCCACACCACATGATATCCTACCACTCCCATCCCTCCCTTCCCGTTGCGTTGAATCCCTTCTATCCGACACCTCGGGTGCCCTAGGGAACTTTTCGACCCAAATAGCAAGTGCAGGATCTGAATAACCGTTTACTGTGCAATCGGCGAGGGGGAGGCTAATGAGCAGGAGGCGACTGAGCAGGAAAAGGAGGAAGACGAGGAGTAGGAGCAGCAGGAGCAGGAGGATCGGGGGAAACGGGAAGAGGAGGAGAAGGAGGACCGGGGGAAGTGGGGGAAGGGGACAGGAGGGGACGGCAAAGACGAGGACGGAACAGGCTGAGAGCGACGCTCTGAGCGACGAGAGCAGCGTGTCGATCCTGAGATGTGTGGACAATGCCGCAGGGGGAGCGCCACTCTAGAGGGACCGAAGACGCTTCGCGGTGAAAAATACAGCGGAGGCCAGTCCACCAGAAACTTTCCACAAGAAACAACGACCCTGAGACCCCAGGGCGTCCCTTGACTTTCGGCGCGGGAGCGCCGCGCTCTCCGTGGCAAAACCCTCGGCACCCAAGAAGCCCAGGGCACCCTGGAGGCCAGCAGGGCGTTTCTTGGCAGCGCCCCCCCCCCCCCCCCTGCACACAAAAGGCAGGCCAACATGGTGTGTGCGGTCCTGTGCGTGGGCGGGAGCGGCGGCGCCGCGGCCAGACTCTCGCACAGGAGAGGGGGGGGGCACGGCGAGCCACTGCGCGGGCGGAGGGGGCAGTGCCATGGGACGCACAGGGACACACTAACACGATATGCTTTCCTTGGAGGCGCGCGTCCGACCCGAACATCTGGTAGACCCATCTTGCAGTACCTCGTTTTCCGAGCGGTGCGGTCAGAAGTGGGCAGGCCGAGCGGCGGCGCCGCGGCCAGACTCTCGCACAGGAGAGGGGGGGGGCACGGCGAGCCACTGCGCGGGCGGAGGGGGCAGTGCCATGGGACGCACAGGGACACACTAACACGATATGCTTTCCTTGGAGGCGCGCGTCCGACCCGAACATCTGGTAGACCCATCTTGCAGTACCTCGTTTTCCGAGCGGTGCGGTCAGAAAACGCCCGCCACGACGCATATACTATAAGATTTCCTGGTGCGCGCGTGGCCCGGGGGGGGCGATGCACACATAGTATTAGTATGTGGGGGTGACGCCGACGCCACGGCAAGTCAGGTCAGAGGAAGGGAGAGAGTGACAGTCGGCCCGTATCACAAGGGTGTTCGATGAACATGCAAGGACCTGGGATGCCCATGTCGGAGCTTTCCGAGCGGGGCGCGGCCAACGGAGGTGGCCAAGGCTGGGCCGAGGAGGCAAGGACGCCAGGGCACCCTTGGGAAAGCTGCCCATCCTTACCATGCGGGTTGGCTGTAAGACCCACGCGGAACAGCGGTGGAGGCGGAAGCGGAGTGGGAACCTGGAGAGACGGAGAAGGGGGAGAAGGGGGAGAGGAACGAAGTTACGGAGGGTTGGGCCGCAGGAAGGCGAGCTGGGGCGTACGCTGTTCCTCTGCCCCCGAACAGCGCTCTTCGTGGTCCTGATCCTAGTCACCCCACTCCTCCCCGCCCTCGTCATGGTCCTGCTCCTCTGCGTAGCCATCATGATCACCACCGCCATGAATGTCATGGCCGGCATTGTCATGATCAACATCAGTATCATGATCGCCATCGTCAACATTACCACCACCACCACCGCCATCATGATCACAACCGCGCTGGTCATCACATATTAGCGCAGCATCACCACCACCAACAACAATTTCATGAACATCAACATCACCACCATAATCATCATCATCCGCAATATCAGCAGCAGCAGCATCATCAGCATCACCATCATCATCATCATCATCATCATCATCATCATCATCATCATCATCATCATCATCAGCAGCAGCAGCAGCAGCAGCAGCAGCAACATCACAATAATCCTTCTCATCATCACCCTCCTCATCACCAGCACCCTCATCAGCACAAGCATCATCATCGCCATCAGCGTAAGCATCAGCACCATCAGCAGCATCATCATCATCATCAGCATGGTCATCATCATCATCAGCATCAGCATCATCATCATCATCAATATCCTCATTCTCCACAACACCATCATCAGCATCATCATCAACATCAACATCACCATCGTTGTCATCATAAGCTTATCCATCATCAGCATCATCGTCATCACCCTCATCATAATCAGCATCATCAGCACCATCAGCATCATAATCATCATAATCAGCAACAGCATCTGCGTCATCACCAGTATCACCGTAGCCATCGCTAACATCATCATCAGCATCATCATCAGAATCATCATCACCATTATCATCACCACCATCATCAGCACCAGCATCATCAGTATCAGCAACACCGTCATCATCATCACGATCATCCTCCCCGTCATCATCAGCATCATCCTCCTCATCATAATGTGTATCCACGTGCTGCTCACTACTGTTGTCCAGGGACGCCCGCACACCCACACCGGACATCTCTATAGCGAAACCAGGCGGATTGGATAGGAAAGGATGAAGACGGACCTGGGCTTCAGCAGCAAGGTAGGCATCTCATGCTTCAGCTTGTTACACGACGATTTGCGCTGCCAGCCTCTGCGAGCTCGGGATTGGCAACTCCTCAACTTCTAGAATTGAAACCGGGGCTGATCCCCCTTCGACGCACGCGCAAATTCGAAGGACGGACGACAGCGCCGCTTGAACCCTATATTTCAATCACAGTGCAGTCGGGGGGGGGGGCAGCAAAAAACTGCGGAGAGAGAGCAGAATACAGCAATCACACTAAGTCACACTCGCTGCTTTCGTTCTTCAATAATGCGCATCCACGCGCGGCTCACCATCGTTGTCCAGGGACGCCCGCCCACCCACACCAGGCGCGCTCATGGCGAAGCCAGGCAGATTGGATAGGAGGGGATGAAGATAGACCAGGGCTTTAGCAGCAAGATAGGTATCTCATGGTTCAGCTTGTTACACGACGATTTGCGTTGCCAGCCTCTGCGAGCTCGAGACTGGCGACTTCTCGACTACGAGAATTGAAACCGGGGCTGATCCCCCTGTCGACGCATTCTGGGCTGTGGCAGACAGAACCATGATGCTTGAACCCACATCCACTTGTGACCTGTCCCAAATCGTAGGATGAATCATCTGTCACAGCCCGCTCCCGCTTGCGATCTGAGCGAATTGCAAGCTGTCCAGGACGAGGACGCAAAGGAGCCAGCGGAATCAGACGGGCGGGAAAACATGCGGTGCGAACTCATCAGTTTGCAGCGGTTCACGTAGCCATTGCATGTCAATGGCATTCTC